CAAATTTCAGAAAAGCACAAAAAGTATGGAAGGATCAAGTATGTGTGTTTTTAAGAGTTACAATTAGACCATAAAGGTATTCAAAAGGTGGCAGAAGGTTAACAAAGAGGAAGCAGATTGCAGCTCTAGGGGCAGAGAATTATACATCTTGGGTGCGACAACCATTTCCCTTATTTCCATCATCTGTACTTCTAAAAGTGGTAGGATTCACAGAAGGGGGGGGGCTCCCCTCCTGTCTGCAGTTGATACACAGATTTTCTCTTTGGGTATCCCTTTTCCAGGCCATTATGCAAAAATGCAAGGTATGTGCCCCACCCAAAAGCCACTATAAATGTCACTTTGTGATATTTCCGAACCAAAATCAGTCACATTTCCCTTCGTAAGAAGAGCATTCCAAGACTTAGTGCATAAATCACAATATAGCAGCTTGGATAGTATTATATAAACAGTCCTGTAATTTTGTGATTTAGGGTTCTCCAACAACTGCTCACACATCTGAATAGAGTACCTAACATTTGTTGCCACTATGCTTGCCAGGCATTTGATTAGTTAACTGCACCTCTAGAGCTCCATGTTGTGCTCAGCTTCTTATAACATCTAAATCGTGTTTAAAGTATCATGATAGGAAAGTAAACCTACAGCGCTTTTATTCTTCCAAAATCCTTCCTCAGCAAATATTCAAAGTGCCTGTATGACTGGGTATCACTTACAAAAGCAAGTTATTTTTTCCTGAGACGAAATTTCAGTGCTTTAAGATGGTACTTCTGAAGGGCACACTTGGCCACTACTGAAACATTGGCTTTGATGCTCGTTGAGATGAGTATCTGGACAAGCACTGGCATTGTAGGGTGTTGGTCATCAAATCCCAAACTTCTGCCAATCTTCACCTGGTGACCTCGTGTACTTATTGAAAAGGAAAAGATCAATCAGAGAACCGGTGGAATTCTACAGGGAAGATTCCAACCAAAGAGAAACAGTCACTTCTCTGACCTTTCTGATGGAAATTGCTCCAGAGCAGTCTCCTAAATCTGTGCTGTCCTGGCTGGCTTTTGCCAGCCAGATGGGCATAAATCCAGCTCTAAAGTGTTGCCCTTTTATTCCTGTGCTCTGAACCAATGGATATTTCTCATTTGGGCCTAACTAAAACAGATGGAAATAAGTAGAACAAGAATGAGTCTTGAATAACTGACTCGGATTTTGCCTATGAAATGACAACCTGAACTACCCTTCTATTTTTATTTTTTTAAGAATCATTTGTATTCCTGCACTGTGGAATGCATTTACATGCAATTTGGTGATGGCCACCAGCTTAATTGGATTTAAGAAGGTACAGTGGTACCTCGGGTTACATATGCTTCAGGTTACAGACCCAGAAATAGTACCTCGGGTTAAGAACTTTGCTTCAGGATGAGAACAGAAATTGTGCTCTGGCGGCGCAGCAGCAGCAGGAGGCCCCATTAGCTAAAGTGGTGCTTCAGGTTAAGAACAGTTTCAGGTTAAGAACGGACCTCTGGAACGAATTAAGTACTTAACCCGAGGTACCACTGTATTAGACAAATTCATCAATGATTACTGGCCATGATGGCTACACGTTGGCGGCACATTTCTGAATGCCAGTTGCTGGGGAACAACATGCCCCTCATGTCCTGCTTTGAGGCTTCCCCACAGACATCTTGTTAGACATTTTGGGAAACAGAATGCTGGACTAGATAGGCATTGGAGTCTCACTCAGCAAGTCTTATGCCTTTAAATTGAATATACTTCTATTCTCCTTTTAAAGCCTTGAATTTTTCAGTTGTAAACTTTATTATTTGAATACCTCATTCCCTATATTCCAGTGTACCTTGCTTAACATATCAATAGATATGGGGAAATGTCTCCCTTTGGACAAGAGAGTTCTGTTCAAGGTATTTCATTCTTCAACAAATGTTTATTACACTGAGGAACTGGCTAGTCAGCACTTTTGAAAAAATTCAGCCGGTCATTTATAAAACTACAAAAGCTGCATTAATATTTTTTATTTTCTTTTTAAATCATAAAGGACTCCATCTTTATGAAGTCTGAAACTGAAAATTAAGCAATATTCTTGGTGCAATGAAATTAGACTGCGAATGATATTTATTTCCAAGTGAATGAGAATAGCCCATTAGGACTTAACTTTGCTGCCAATCTACTTATTGATTTCTTTTGCTTACTGAAGTAATACTGGGCAAAACCAAGGCCCTTGACATCAGTAACTTTTTTTAAACACATATTATTCAAACACTATCCACCAAAAATGAAAGTTTAAAATCAGAATAATAGATCAAATATACTTCCTCACAATACTTACATGGTTTAAAACAAGATAGATTTGTTCCCCAAATGATAAAGCATTCCCTAAAGAGGTCGTCAATAACTTGATGCACATCAAGGTTTTGTACATTTGTTCTGCTAAAATGCCCAAAGCTCAAGAAAAAGTTGTGGTGCACAATAAGTGGGCCAGCTTAAAATATGCACTTCAGAGAGGATGGCAGTGCCAAGGAAGAAGTTTGTACAATTATTTCAGTTTAGGGAAAAAAGAACAACTCAACATCACCAAAACAGATGGATGAAGAAAGCAATAGGATAGTAGCAGCTGGACAAATAAATAGTGAAATGAAATTAATGAAATCACATTGTTGTGCTTTCGATAAATAGACATCTATGTTCAAAGATATTTTGTTCAACAAGAATTCGAGTTATGGAGGTTTGTGAGAGCATGTAATTGTGTAGGAAATTGGTGTATCCCTCTGTACGAAAACAATGGTTTCAGCACAAGTGAAAAAATATGTACAGACATTTTGTGGATTTCTATGTTATCTTGAATGACTGCGAAAAAAATTATGTACCTTTGGACTCCAGGCATAAAAATCATTTATTTTACAACCAAACTGGCTCCCCACTTATTCCTTACATCTTTACTTAACAGCAACCTGCCAAATTACTACTTCTCTCCCCCAGTTTGATCTTAAATAATTTCTTCATTTCTTACAGCATCATGGGATTGAGAACCAAAACTCCGCCTTTCTTCCACTGGAAAATTATCTCTGAAAACATTGCCAGAATATTCCCTTAAGCTGAACCATTACCATCTTTATTCTCTTCCATTTCTAACTATTATATTGATTGAGACAAAATCAGGGTAGAGATGGGGAGTTGACAAAAAACTTTGCCTCTCTTCACAATTGTTTTCTTCTTCACTCCTCTTGCCCCTTTCAACAATGGGCTAAAGGCGCCAGGATCCAGCTCCATTCTCATATGTATTTGCCATTTTTGTCATTTAAATTTTTATTTATTTACTTATAAAATTTATATTCTGACCATCATCATAAGTGACCCCAGGGTAAATTATAATGCTTAAAACAAATAGAATAAAGAATTGAGCAAAATATACAATTAGTAATACCCCCAAATTGACCGTTCCCCATACTACCATTGTACAGAGTAGGCCTATTTCTGAAAATATGCAAAGGGCCCGGAGGAAGACGGTGGTTTACACTTGGTGTGAAAATGTCAGTGGCATTAGGGAAGTAGGTATTCCATAGGCAGGGCACCATTGCGGAGAAGGCTCTCTGGTGAATCACAGACCCGCTAAATGAATTACACAATAGAATGGCAAGAAGGGTGTCCCCAGCCAACTTCAAGCACAGACAAGACAATACAGGGAGAGGCATTCCTTCAGATAACTAAGCCCTAAGTTATTCAGGGCTTTATATATCAAAACTAAAAGCCTGAATTGGTCTCAGCACCACACAGGCAGGCAGCACAAATCTTTCAAGTACCAATGCTATATGCTCTTGAGTCATCAAACCCATCAAAACTCTGACACTAGTGCAGAATGCATCTCCAAACGGTCTTTAGGAGCAGTCCCATGCAGAGTGCATTCCTATTTAAAGTTACGAGAAGAAAACATGCTTTACACAATACTGCTTCTAACAACTCAAATCCAAAAAGTTGGATTTCTGGTCTAGCTTGATCTAAAATATGTTTGTTCAATAGATGATTGTACAGAAAGAACACACTGAGCTAGAAATACCAATTTAAATCATGAGTTACATATTTTCCCAAGATACTGGCACATATAGCCTGCTGACACACAATTTAGGAGAGTGTTTAATCCCATCTTCATTCCACTCACAACCAGCAAGTGGAATAGAAGTAGCTTCCTTCAAGCCCTGAACTTGGCATCATAATGCCATCCATGAATACCAGCAATTATATCTTCTTAATGAAGTCAAGGACAGTAGATAGGAAATCATGGAAAGAGTGGAAGGGAAGTAAAAGTTAAGATATATAAGATTTAAATAATTTGGAGGAATACAGATCTGTTGTTGTTGTTACCATCATTTGTTCATGTCTTATATCTATACTATTTCTTTCTTATTACTTTACGCATGATAGTAACATAGTATGTGTTGACGATGAGATACAATAGAAAAGCAAATGATTTTTTTAAAAATGAAGTGTATTTGTACACACTGTCTGTACCAACAGAATGGTTTTCCACACACTGCAAACCAGAACACCTATACAATAAGGCAATCAAGACAACATTTATATGAACGTTAAGGAAGCACCACTGTAAAATAAAATTATTGAGATTGTTTAGTTGGAGAGAGCCAGTGAAGCATAGTGGTGAAGTGTGCCTGGCTAGGACCCGGGAGACCAGGCCTCAAATCCCCACTTGGCCATGAAGCTCACTAGGTGACCCTGGGCCAGGCACTGCCTCTCAGCCTAGCCTACCTCACAGGGCTGTTGTTGTTGTGGGGGTTAAAAGAGAAGGGAGAAAACCATGTACGGCATTTTGAACTCCTTGGAGAAAAAGGGCATATATAAATGTAATAAAATAGGTAGGTAGGCAGGCAGATAGATAACTGACACTTACTTCAGGAGGTGTATGCTCTTTTAGCTCCGCTTATAATATTAACAAGAGATCAAAGTACTTTGGTTACTTCATTTTAATGTTAACTTCCCCTTACCTTTACTGTATAAAATCCCAGATTTCAAAAGCCTTGTCTGTAAAGAGGATCATCTTCGGCAATTATTAAATATATCCAAAATACGTTATTCATGATAACCTGAAAGACAAACATTTCCAAATGAAGCTGGTTATAGCATAATACATCATGGACAAACATTTATGAGCATTAATCCTTTTCAATTAATTAATTAATTTTCTATTATTATTATTTCTTATACCCCGCCCATCTGGCTGGGTTTCCCCAGCCACTCTGGGTGGCTTCCAACAGAACACTAAAATACAATAACTTATTAAACATTAAAAACTTCCCTAAATTAATGCTAAGTTATTGTCCTACTATCTCTGTTTAAAGTAGGAACTGTTTGAAACCTTTTCAAACACCTTTGCCTATCCAAGGAAGAATTCAGATTTGACAATAACTGTTTATCACTCCCTGGGTCTAGATTTAGTTTCTTGAAAGCAAGTATCTTCAACACACGACCCATTATTAACCCAAACATGCATTTAGAGACATTTGTGAACCTTTTATCATATATTTGCATGACGACGGTGCTCTTGCTGAGAACCAACTTGGATCAGACTGCAGCCCCACTAGTAGATGCCAACCCATCAGTTGAAAACCAATGCTTTAAAGGGAGCATCACAGCAACCTCTCTCTGAATTGCAGGAACTACTCTTTTTCTCATGGAGGGTAACTTATTCCGAAAACCAACTAGATAGACCTGTTCCAGCAGTTTTAATCCTGATGCATATGGGTCTAGCATATATGTGGTTTATGTCAGATCTCCAGGTATACAAGCTGAAAGATGTTCATTAAAATGGACAAGATTGTGCTGCTGCTGTTGATTTGTGATATTCTTGCAATCCTGAAATCTTTATGTGGAGCCCAATTTCTTTCGTGTTATAATTTGCATTTAACGTATTTTTTGCTCTGTAAGACTCACTTTTCCCTCCTAAAAAGTAAGGGGAAATGTGTGTGCGTCTTATGGAGCGAATGCAGGCTGCGCAGCTATCTCAGAAGCCAGAACAGCAAGAGGGATTGCTGCTTTCACTGTGCAGTGATCCCTCTTGCTGTTCTGGCTTCTGAGATTCAGAGTATTTTTTTTCTTGTTTTCCTCCTCCAAAAACTAGGTTCGTCTTGTGGTCTGGTGCGTCTTATAGAGCGAAAAATACGGTAGTTCTTTCCCATGCATACTGCTTTCCATTGTTTCTTGCTGATTTTTCAGTCTAATTGGTTCGGCTTAAATGCATTTAAGTCAGGAGTGAGGAAGCTGCAAGCCTTGGCCCAATTTCATGTGGACAGTACGGAAGGGGAAATTGAGAGGTGAGCAAAGAAAGTGAGGGAAGAGATGGACCTACCCAAAAAGATTGCCGACCTCTATTTTAAGTTATATGGGTCATTCTCTATAGACATATTTTGTTCCCAAATGGGTCATACATCAGTTTGTAGAGTATATCCATTTTCTCTTTCAAGTCATTTGTAAAGATATTGGCCAGCACTAGTTGAAGCCATGACTCTTTCAGAATGCTGCTAGGTATCGCAGGTGAAGACGTTAACAGAAGTCAAAGTACTTTTTATATTGCAACACAGAATCTCTTCCTATTACTAAGATGTGTTACAATATCTTACAAAAAAAGGTTATTTTTACCCTAAATAACAGGAGTAATTATTATGTTATGCAAAAGAGTGAATAGTACTGCGACTAGAAAAATTTGTTACAGTAGTATAACACTTCACACTCTTTAAGATGAAACTGCTTCACGAAGGGGAAAGCTACAAATGCCTCAAGGAACAACCGTCTAGAGATTATTTCATTTAACACATTTGTGTCATCGCACAAAACTGCCAGCTTCTTGGAAGAGATAGAATTCTGAATTAATGAGCTATAGACTAACAAGCCTGCTCTTAACATTTTAACTTTTAAGGGTGGCTGAATTATACCCATACTTTCTGTAAGTATAGGTGAATGGTAATTTCAAAGGAAAAACTAAAAACATTTATCAGATTAATTTGCAATAGTTGTTTACATATATGTCAGGAAAAGGTCATGTGAACATTATCTTGTAAAAGGTATTTCTTAAGTGCATGCTGCCATTTTGGAAGAGGAGTGTTTCACTGAACTGCCAGCAATTGGACAAACCATTATTGATATATTGTTAACAGCCATGATCTACATTATATCAGGATGACTTCCCAGAATACTGTAGACTTTATGTTTACAACTCTTGAGAAGTTCAATTTATTGAGCTGAGGTAATGATTCCCTTTAAGTGTTGACATACTACATTCAGATTTATTCTTTTAAGAGCAATATACATTTTGTAAGGATTACACTTCTACAACAGAATAATTTTTCTTACTATCTAGCTCCAATCCAATGAACTATGGAGAGATCTCTCATGAGAGTTAACTGCTTAATGAAGAGCTAGTCAACCAATTTGCATCTGTTCAAATACCTACTTCAGTATCTCATATGAAGAGAGTATTCCCTTGAGCAAAACATTTCAAATAATTAAAAAGCATATAGAAGGCGAGTGGTGAAAAGTTACCTCCTCTTTCTACCTGGTAATGGAAATACTGGAGGAAAACACACATTCATCTATTTGAACAGAAAGAAAGAAAGAAAGAAAGAAAGAAAGAAAGAAAGAAAGAAAGAAAGAAAGAACCTGAGATACAAGTCTATTCAATTACTTAAAATAATTTAAAATCTTATGGGGAGATGTAGACTGTTTATGGCAAATATTTTGAGAAACATTTTTCTATTATCATAATACAGTGGTGCCTCGCAAGACGAAATTAATTCGTTCCGCAAGTTTTTTCTTCTTGCGAGTTTTTCGTCTTGCGATGCACGGTTTCCCATAGGAATGCATTGAAAATCAATTAATGCGTTCCTATGGAAACCGACTTCAGACCAGGTCCGGGGACAATCTGTCCCCCGACCTCTTCTGAAGGCTGGGGGGGGCGAAAGTCTTTGCTCCCCCCCCCCACGGCAGCATTTTAAAATCGCCCCGGACAGCTGTCCGGGGCGATTTAAAAGCCCTCCCGGGAAGGCAGCCAGGGGGGAACAAAGATTTTCGCCCCCCGCCAGCCTTCCCCTCTTTTGAAGCAAGGGGCGGCAATGGGGAGAAGATCGCTTCTCCCCTTTGCCGCCCCTTGCTTCAAAAGGGGTCCGGGGGGAGAGAGAGGAAGGCGCGCGCCTTTCCCTCTGTCCCCTCTTTTGAAGCAAGGGGAGGCAACGGGGAGAAGATCGCTTCTCCCCTTTGCCGCCCCTTGCTTCAAAAGGGGTCCGGGGGGAGAGAGAGAGGAAGATCGCTTCTCCCCTTTGCCGCCCCTTGCTTCAAAAGGGGTCCGGGGGGAGAGAGAGGAAGGCGCGCGCCTTTCCCTCTGTCCCCTCTTTTGAAGCAAGGGGAGGCAACGGGGAGAAGATCGCTTCTCCCCTTTGCCGCCCCTTGCTTCAAAAGGGGTCCGGGGGGAGAGAGAGGAAGGCGCGCGCCTTTCCCTCTGTCCCCTCTTTTGAAGCAAGGGGAGGCAACGGGGAGAAGATCGCTTCTCCCCTTTGCCGCCCCTTGCTTCAAAAGGGGTCCGGGGGGAGAGAGAGGAAGGCGCGCGCCTTTCCCTCTGTCCCCTCTTTTGAAGCAAGGGGCGGCAACGGGGAGAAGATCGCTTCTCCGCGTTGCCGCCCCTTGCTTCAAAAGAGGTCCGGGGAGAAAGGGGAAGACGCCAGCATTTTAAAAAACCTCGGGACAGCGGGGGACTTCTCCGCTGTCCGGGGCGAATTTAAAATGCTGGCGGGCGCCCGCCAGCATTTTAAAAAACCTCGGGACAAAGGAGAAGTCCCCCGCTGTCCCGGGGTTTTTTTAAATGCTGCTGGGCGGCAGCGCTGCCGCCCGGCAGCATTTTAAAATCGCCCCGGACAGCGGAGAAGTCCTCCACTGTCCCGGGGTTTTTAAAAAACCTCTCCGCCCCCCGCCAGGCTTCAGAGCAGCCTTCCGAAGCCTGGCGGCGGGAGGAGGTCCGAGGACAGTGGGCAAGACGCCCTGTCCCGGAGATTTCCCTATGGGCTTTCGTCTTGCGAAGGAAGCCCATAGGGAAATTCGTTTTGCGAAGCGTCTCCAAAACGGAAAAACCTTTCGTCTAGCGGGTTTTCCGTCTTGCGAGGCGTTCGTCTTGCGGGGTACCACTGTAACTATTATGGATAAACACTAATCATCACCATAATACCATAGAAGTATACAATAAAACAAAAAGAAGTAAAACAGATAAAACAGTTGTGGAAAAAACCATCAAATGCTGCCTGTGAGTTAATTCATTCTTCTGGAAATTTTATTTTTGGCACCCTACAAAATGAATACAGTGGCCTGGTAAATGGTAAACCGAACTATGCCTTACTGGGATCATGCAAATGTGCAGACTTCTAGAGAGGAGGAACTCATAACCATTTTGCTTCATGGTTAGCAAGAAGCTATCATAAGCCCAGGTTCAGATGACACGCTAAAAGCTAAATTTTGGTTTAGGTCAGCATGGAAATAAAAAAGACTGGGGAGGAGCAAATTCTGACTTGCCATGGTGTCTCAGACAAATATAAGAGCCTGCCTAATTTCAATGGCCAGTGTTTTCCACAGGGCAGATGCCACTGCATGGAAGGACCTAGTCTGAGCCTCTCTGGAATAAACCTCCAACACATGCAGCACCACAAGGAGGACCCCACAGATGACTGCTATCAATGGGCAGATATGCAGGGAGCAAGGATCCCTCATAAATCCATGTCCCAAGTGATTTAAGGATTGAAATACCAATAAGAAAACCTTAAATCTGGCCCAGTAGCCTACTGGCAACCAAGTATCATTATTTAAGCACTAGTGTTTTATGCAGATGGAAGGCAATTATGGACATTCTGCAGTAGCTGCCACTTCCAAACCAAATATAAAGGGCGGCCCCCACATAAGATTACATTGGGATATTCCAATTGTGAGGTTACCACTGTCAAGGAATGGCCAAAGGTGGCTGAAAACGCTCCTGGTCACCAAGGCTACTTGAGCTTCCAGTAACAATGAAGGATCAAGGAGTCCTCCCAGACTATGCATCTGTTCATTTCGA